AAGTGTTGCTATAGTTTTTAATGTAGTAGATAATCACATTCGGGTGTTACTATAGTTTTTAATGTAGTAGATAATCACATTCGGGTGTTACTATAGTTTTTAATGTAGTAGATAATCACATTGCCTATTGCTGGAAATGCAGGGCGTGTTTAGCAGCATCGAATCTTGAACCTTCTGAGACGCAGCCCAACGCGAAAATCTTTAGGTCGCACCTGATTTACTGTATAACTCTCTATTAGCGAGGGTAGCTTGTTTATGGATAAGCGGATGACAGGTAATTTTTTCTAGGACGGTACTTTAATTTTGTTTTTTTTTTTGCTGGGTACACATCATCTTAATATATCACCGATATTCTGAAATAGTCTATTTAGAGTAATCAATTACTGGAATTAATTCAATGCTTATAAATCAAATTTTTAGTTATTTAAACCCATAAGTCTCTTCATTGAGTTAAACAATGTGGGCGCGGTCCTGTTGTAGAACTCTAGTTTTCGGAGCTGTCGAGCCGGGTTCGAATTCGTGCAGTACTACGAAATATTTTCCAAATTTTAAGCTGTGGGTGCATTATCACTCGCAACCAATCCCTTATCGCGGTTGACAGGTGTTAGGGTGCTGCCGAATGGCTACCTTCCCTCTTGTTAGCAGACAGAGGAAGAAAACTTAGTTACGTAGAAAATCTAAACAAGAGTTCAGTCCCTTTCGTGATATACACGATGTAAGTAAAACAAGAGACATTGGTAACCATGGTGAAAATTAGGTAGAACGTAAGAGTTCGAAACGGATTTATTTATTTTTTCATGAACGGAAGATCGATTTCACGTGCTGAAAAAAAAAATGTGTCGAAAAAGTGCACTTGTAACGGATTTATGACACGCGAGATTTTCATTAAGGTATTTTAAAAGTAAGAAAAACGAAACCTAAAACTAAAGTTGCATAAACTAGTAGTGGAATTAAAGGAAAGCCATAGTAGGGGGCGTTTCTAGTCAAACAGAGGCAAACCTCTAAATGAGATTAACGTGGAAGAGTGGGGGGCGGGGGGCGGGGGGATCCATTCGCCTTAATTTATATCGCAGGAT